GAGGTAAGCCTCAGTGCCTTGAAAAAACACCAGGCACATGTCTGTGTGTGCCCTCAATCCTAACAGGGCCCTGTTCCATTGAGGTATGCTTCCATTGAGGTATGCTTTTCTCTCTCCCTGTCCTCTCTTACTCTGACAGACACACACGCCCCCTGGCAATTTTCAAAAATGGTGTCATTTATGTTAACCCTGACTACACCATATCAGAAAGGCCAGGGAGGTTTTTTTTCTTATGCTAACATGTCTGATAACATGAACTGATATTTAGAGAATTCTGCTAGAATTACAACCTGACCTAAAGGTTACTTTATTTATTTATTTATTTATTTATTTTTGGAGAGGTTTTTTCACTATAGGGCGCGTGCGCTCGCCAGACAGACAGAGAGAGACATAGAGACAGAAAGCGAGAAATCACCCCCCCCGGGGGATGGTCACGCTGCAATCCCTTCTCCTCCATTCTCCTCTTGGGATCTTGGGCACACACCCACATGCGCCCGGTGTGAGTTCTAAGCCACCGGGTCGGAGACGCGAATAGCAGTTGACTACGTGGGAGTCCAGCGACATAGCCATTACACTAACTGCTGGTTCCCCTAAAGGTTACTTTTGTAAGGACATCTGCCTAAAGATTGCCTGTCCAATCTTCGGGTATTGCCCACCTTGAAACTGATATTGGCAACCAAGGAAAATCGCTCCAAAACAATTAGTATAACATCCTCTCCTCCATCTTCTTTTGTTTGTGTTTTTCACCTTTAAAACTTGCCTATGGATTATAAGAACTTAGTGAGCATATTTGGGGCTACCTGAATTTTGTTCATTTGAAATACATGCTGGCTGTAGTCCTCATGTTTTGGCTTAGAATAAACCTCTTTCAATATACAAATTTGAAATAGACAAATATCTAAAAATAGACAAATATGGTTAAAGAGTTCATTAGATGGATATTTTCTGTACTGATAATAGTGCAACTTTTTGTAAGTTTAAAATTATTTTCAATTTTTTTAAATTAAAATAATAACCAAAGAAGAAGCCAGAAGTCCTCACCCCTTCCTGGTAGTGTTAGAGCACCACAAATCCAGCAGTGTCTGGCAAGCCACTGCAGAAGAAATCCAACCCCAGGCCAACTAAGAGCTAAGAGAGGACAACAATGTAGTAACCAGTAACAAATTCAGCTTCTAAATTGACCCCTCCAGATTTCTGAGGAAATATTTTCCAAGTTAAATTTGTATAATAGTGTCAAAACCAGTGTCTTCAAGTCTCCCAGAAAACAATGGAGTTGGGATAAAACCTTCAAGGTCAGAGCTCTGATGACTGCCAATGATCACAGGACCTGGCTGTCTAGCCTGCCCTTCTACCACCCAGATGTGCAGCTGTCTCCAAAACCTGGAGAAGAGTCTACCTCTAGCCTTCCATACAATATGGAAGAGCTATTCAAGCCTCATGCAGCAGGAGACAGTTATGCTAGTTAGTAGCTGTTGAAATTCAAAGCATGGTATTTAGACTCATTGAGTCTCAGTTGTCCCATCTCTAAAATAACGCTGATATTAGTGCTAGGCCTTTCATAAGATTATTACGGTGATTACATGAGATATTACATGAAATCCCAAGGTAAGCATAATTAAATAATGTTAGCTCTTATTGATGAATTTTAAGAGTGTGCGTACAATTAAGTGTGCAGTGAGCCATTGCAAAAATATCTGTTTAGCACCAGGGACTGTAGTACTTTGTTAAGAAAACATTGGGTTCCTTTGCAATGGATGCAACATTCTTTACTCCTTCATTCATGTAACTTAAATTTATTGAGAACTTATTACATGATAGCATGCAAAGACAATTAAAAGCATATCTGTTTCTCAAGAAGCAAATGGTCTGGTAAGGAGATAGACACATATATAACTAATTACAATACATGAAATTACAATAAGAGTATTATAAATGAAATTTTAAATAATCTTAAAGAAAGAGAAATTGACTCCTTTTAAGAGCTTTAGGAAAGCTTCTAACAGAAAGCAACATGGATGTAGAATTTTGAAGAATACAACAGGAGACAAAGAAGTAAGAGCATTCTTAAAATAAGGAACAAGAGCAAAATTTGATCACTACGTAAACATTCTTAGCAGAACTTTCTCTCCCAGTGGGTTGACACTAAATAATTCAGAAGACAGGCAGAATATTTTCCAGCCTCAATTGCCTCAGTGGAATCACATTTTTCTTCTTTTCCTGAAAGCAGTTTCCATCTCTGCAAATGTAAAATTTTGAATAAATGTTAACCCAGAGTCCCAATTTTAATGCTACAGTAGTAAGAAGTCCTAAAAACTTAACAACAAAAAAAAACTTAGTAACTTCACTTTTGCCATGTAAGATGGGAACATATAATTTCTTTACTAAACAATTTATTTTTAAATAAACTTGAACCGAGTCCTTAAAAATCTAATATAGCAGCTGCTGTGAGAAATGACAAATATTGTACTTTAATTTTTGGATATACTGTTCTATATAATGTAATTTCAGTCTCCAAAGACTCATGTGAGTCCAGAAAGTACATTGCTCACACTATGATATACACACTACTCACTACTTAAAATAATTGGATTTTATTTTTAAAATATAACTTTGGAGTAAACCTCATGTCCCTAAAGATGTTTTCTATTTTGTACCAATCAATTCATGAAATATCTCATTTCTCTTAAAATGCATTTTATAGTGAAAGAGTATCACGCTGAATCCAAAGTTTCCCTAATATGATTCACATTTTTCTTGCCAGCATTATGACATGAATATAGATTGTTAGGCTGCCTGTATAAGAAACGGTGCATGATACCTGTTACCGGTTTCTACTTGTGTATAACAAACTACCCCAAACAACAATTTATTATTTTCTCTTACAGTTCTGTGGGCAGATGGGCTCGGCTGGCCAGTTTTGTTTGACATGCTTCATAAAGTTGTAGGCACATATGACTCTGGCTAGAGTCACCTGAAGCCTTCTTGACTCATTTATCTGCTGCCCGGACTGGGATGGCAGAAATCGCTGAGGGCTGTTCAGACATATGTTTCCTCTCCCTATCCTTCTCTCTGTACCTTCTTCCTTATCATCTCTCTCTGCACTCGCTTTCCCTCTCCCCATATGGCTTCTTCATGTGGCTCACTTAAGCTTCTTTTAGTCCTCAAAGTCTCTTAACAGTTACATTTCTCACATGATAGTTGACTCTCCCCATCCCCCGCCAAAATTCAAGTTTCCTGAAAGGAAGATACAATGTTTTTGATAAGCTAGTTTCCGAAGTCTCAGAATGTCACTTTATTGGATTCTGCTGGCCAACTTGGTCACTAAAATCAAGAGAAGAGACATTAGACTCCCCCATGCTATGGGAAGAGTTACAGAGAAATTGTGGTCATCTTTAATTTGATACAAAATGAAATATTGCCAGATACAATATTTAAAAATTAAATATTGAGGGACCAGCAATTAGTGTAATGGCTATGTCACTATGTAGCCAACGGTGGTTCGAGTCCCGGACCCAGTGGCTTAAACTCAGGCCAGGTGTATGTGCACGCATGCCCAAGATCCCTAGAGGAGAATGGAGGAGAAGGGGTTGCTGCATGGCCATCCCCCCTGGTGGGTGATTTCTCGCTTTCTATCTCTCTGTCTCTGTCTGTCTGGCGAGCACATGCACACCTTATAGCAAAAACCTCTCCAAAAAAATACATAAATAAATATTGCTAGATATCTTTAAACTCCTTCCCTCCACTGTGAATTTAAAATGAGCATAAAACCCTTAAACTCAATTTATGTTGATTATTTGGCTAATTATTGTTTTCTAATTACTAAGAAAAGAATATAGAAACTAATATAAAATTTTCTTTTGTGCTCATTTTGGCTTGTTGATAACAACATTCTTTAGAGACTATTTTTAAATAATTATCAAGAATGCTCTCTCTGGCTGATATCTAGCCATTAATACAAAGGTCAGTATCATACCAGGAATAAGTGCTCTCAGGCATTTTTTAAAAAGAATTATTTATTTAATTTTATTTTTTATTATTAGTAGTAATGGTATTTTTAATTCACCAGAGAGAGAGAGAAAGACCACTTTTCTAAGCTTATTTTTCACTGGTTTTCTCCCATTACTCTCTAGTCAAAGACCAACAAGAGTACACCTATAAATGAATACACTGAATTTACTACTCACTACAGTAAGAGACATCACACGCCAGAGAAACTGTGGTACCCCACTGTTTTCAGTAAAATATTAGAAAGGATTTGGGCTGAAGTTATCATATTAGAACAGACAAGGTGATGTGTGGACAATGCTCATGTTCTATGTTCAGATCTATCATTTTCAGAATAACCTTGTCTGATGTTGATGGTCTGTGAAATTGTGTACATTCAACAGGAAAACACCAATTTCTAGTTCAGGCTAGCTCCAGATGTCAGAGGCTGTTTGTTCTTCCACATTCCAGACATGTCACACTCTTAGCAGATGTGCATTTTCTCTGTCCTCTGTCCCTAGGGAATTGACTTCAGAAAATCTTCCCTATACCCTTAAGCACTTTAGCTCAAATTTCTGACGTATGTGCTGTGTATTGTTCGATGACTTGTGTTTGTGCTTGTTTTCTTGGACGAGATCATAGCATACATCTCAGCGCTGGCAATACAACAAATCATACATAAGTCACAGCGTACATTCACAGAGGATTACATGGGATCGGTTTATTTTCCTATTCCGTAAATTAGAGAACACTGCGTGGAACAACTTCACTTAACGCAATAAAATCGATACTAAAAACACGCCCCAAGAATCCTAGACCTGACCTCAAGAAAAGAAGGAAATAGTGCTGGTAAGAAAAACTAAGCGGGCACTGGTCCTCCCAGAGCGCCACAGGCGCGAGACTACATTTCCCACAATACACCGGAGCTGCCCAGGCAGCGCCACGTCCTGAACTACAATTCCCACAATCCTCGGAGACCGCACCCTTGCCGCATTTCCCGAAAGCCCTGCTCCATTTCCCGTCTTCCCTTTCGGTCCTTGCAGCTAAAGAACAAGGTCGTGAGAAAGGAAGGGCTTGGGGCGGTGCGGCCATTTCTCCCGTCTTCGGACTCTGAGCTCTCGCAGGGCTTCCAGCAGCACCATGCTGGGACAGAGCATCCGGAGGTTCACGACCTCCGTGGTCCGCAGGAGCCACTATGAGGAGGGCCCGGGGAAGGTCAGTGTGTAAGGGGCTCGGTTCTGTTGGGGGGAGGCCGCGCTCGGCTGCGACTTCCTGAGGCCAAGGCCCCCTGCGTGCCCTGGAGAGGTGGATGGCCAGCAGGGAACTGGGGCTGAGATGGATACTTGCATTCCCATTGCCCGGAGCCCCAGCATAACCGCCAAGAAGAACGGGCAGTAGGTCCGGAAGCCCGAACTCCCTTCTGTCAGCCCACCCCGGACACCGGATCCCCGACCCCCGCGGGAAGACCTGGGTGGCGTCGGAGGCCGCGGCTGCAGGTGGTGGTGGTGGTAACGCTGAGCTGGAGGTCATCGGGCCCGGAGTGAAGGGCACTGGAAGTTAACGAGAAACTAAGGGCTTCTGGTGTGCATTAAACTGTTTCTGAAAATTAACTAAATTAAAAGTACTAATTCTCAGTACTTAAGGCTGGGTTTAATCTCACATGTAAATTACTAAAGTAGGGTGGGTAGCCAAAACGGCGCGGTATTACACGAGGCCTACTAAAGGACAGAGATAGGAGTAGAGGGTTAGAAAAAAGACTCACTGTTTGCACCTGCGTCTTTAAGAGCCCTGTGTACTGTTGGTGAAACCACATATTTTCTTCCTGTCTAGTGTTACACGTGTGAGGAAAGTCCTAAGATTAAAAAGAGGTTAATGTTTAAAAAGATGTAATCATGTATGGCATATATTAAAAAAATCTGTAGCATTCGTTGTGTGCTTTTTTTGATCTATAAAGTCAAATGATTTGAAGTTTATTTTTGTTGCCTTTTTTTCCCTAACAGAATCTGCCATTTTCAGTGGAAAACAAGTGGCGGTTACTCGCTATGATGACTTTATACTTTGGATCTGGGTTTGCTGCACCTTTCTTTATCGTAAGACACCAACTACTTAAGAAATAAGGATGTTTGAATTCATCCATTTAATAGGTAATAAATGGATTTATAATCTTCCTAATGCAATGCTTTGCTTTTTATTTGTATCCACTCACCTCCCCAAATACATCCATGTGTTGGGCCAGTTCCTGAAGTTACGTGTGCAGTTGGCATTAGTTGAGACCTATTCATAAATATGTTAACAAATACTTCAGTAATCATCAATAATGATCAGTATTGAGAGCTACTGCTTGTCAGGCCGACTTTGCATTAATTATCTCATGAGGTTCCCTAGCAAGCCTGCGAGGTAGGTGATATTCCCACCTGAGACACAGCGATGTTAAGTTGTCCAAGACCCGGCTGCTAGGGAAGGACCCAGACTCTGACCCAGGCTATCTTATTATGGAGCTTATGCTTTTAGCCAGGTAATGTTCTAGTAAACTGATTAATGTTTTTCTAGTTTGAATAGTTTAACAAGGCAAATGTTTTAGAATCTGTCTTTTAAAGCACTATGACCCCCTTTTCTTTTTTATAAAGTAGTCATAGTGCTCTCTTCTATTTTTAAAATCTAGGCTTGCCTAAGTTGTGAAAACCTGCAGTAATAAAAGTTCTTCCTGTACTCCCTGAATTTATGTCAGTCTTAGATGTTTATGCTATTATAAATATATGCCTGGCCAGCTCCAGTGACTTGTGAAAACTCAAAATTCTGAAGATACTTTCTAATTTAGGCGTTAGATCTCAAGAGAGTGATTTTATACTACAGTGGGACATTTGAAAATATATAGAGATTTTCATTTGTCTCAATGAACACTACTGGTATTCTGCCCCAAGTTGAGACAAAGCAATATTGTAACACACTCCGAGGGATGACTAGAATAAATTCCAAAATATACCTTAAAAAGGAAATACTTGTTATAATTTAAAAGGGGAATGATTAATCCAAGCTATTCAGATTTTGGTGCATATGATGAAGCAAATCAGTATGAGTAAAGTCATGATACTGTAAACGCTTTCTGATGTACCAGTCAAGCTGATAGACAGTATTTTGGTGGAAGGACAGTTATAACATGAATGACTTTTGCAATGCAGTTCATTTTTTTTTTTATTTTGCAGATATGAAGAACATTTTAAGAGGCGCAGTCACAATCTCTGGAAAATGGATCAAACTCTTAAAATCATAGCATACTGAATATGTTTGTAAATAAACTTAAGACCTGAATGCATAATGCCTCTTTTCTGAAATAAGGGTATGATTAATTGAACATGTCCTTACTTTGTTTTTGAGGTAATATTACCAAATTAGTTTCTTCATGAGGAATTGTGTGTGATTTATCTTGTTTTTATGGTCATGAAGTCCAAGAACTTATTTTTGACTCCTGTGTCAGGACCTTGTTGGGTGTATAAAAGAGAAATGCAAATTTGACTTGAGTTCCCTAATTTTTTGGAGGGGAGCAAGGTGTGTGGTGCTTTTGTTTGTTTATTTTGGCTATAGGGCACATGCACTCGCCAGAGAGACAGTGAGAAACCACCCCAGGGGGGATGGCCACACTGCAATCCCTTCTCCATTCTCTCGGGATCTTGGGCACGCATGCACAGGCACCTGGCATGAATTTAAACTACCGGGGCCAGGACTTGAACCATGGTCACCACATGGCGGTATAACCATTACACCAACTGCTGGTCCCAAGGGTTCTGTAATTTTTAATTTAACCGGAGAAAAAAATACTACTGGTCTTACCCTGTGAAGGAATAAATTGTTTTTTCTCTGTAGGTGATAGATCGTGAGAAAAAACAATATTATGTACACATCAAATTTTTCTGGTTGATTACTTAGGAACTTCATTATTTTCCCTCTAGGTGTATAACCTGAAATTTTTGCCTTGATAAATATACTAGTCATCAGTATTAGTCTTGTTCAGGTTGAATAAAAGTAAAATATTTGAAATGTAATGTAGGATGTATTCCTCATTCATTCTGTAGGTTCGACTATTAAATGTCCTGCTAAAAATGGGGTAAAAGATCACTTTAATCGATAATTGTTTCTGTGAATCAAATGTATTAGTATAACAAGAAATGCTTAGAGTGTAATGACTTAGATTCTAGGTCTTTGTGTTAGGCAAGGGACAGTCATTAACTATTGAATATTTTAATCCTAATTTGGTTACTTTCGGAATACCACTAATGTTAAAATAGTATTTGGCCTTCAGACTTTTTGGTAAGAAGGTACTGTGACAGTTTCTGTTTTAAATCAGGATTAAAACATTTATTGGGCATAAGTATATTACATATACACCACAGATACAGTTAGGTGTTACATTCAGTATTTATAAAATCTATATATTAAAATTGATAAGCAATTTTGGGGCCAGCAGTTAGCATAATGGCTATGTCACTGGATTCCCATGTAGTTGACCACGATTCGTGTCCCAGACCTGGTGGCTTAAAGTTCACACCGGGCATGTGTGTGTGCGTGCCCAAGATCCCAAGTGGAGAATGGAGGAGAAGGGATTGTGGCATGGCCATCCTTCTTGGGGGATGATTTCTCGCTTTCTGTCTCGGTCTGTCTCTGTCTGACGAGCGCACGTGCCCTATAGCAAAAACCTCTCCAAAAAAAAAATATTGATAAGCAATTTTAATACAATATATATTAAATAGTCTTTAACATAATACAGAGAAACATTTTGTTCTCCTGAAGTTAAATACTTTGTAGATTCATCAGTGATGTAAAACATTTGGTTTTCATCAAATGCAAGGATAATATTTCAAAAAACCAACATTTAAACAGGATATTCTTGGGGACCAGCAGTTAGTGTAATGACTATGTCGCTGGACTCCCACATAGTCGACCGTGGTTCACGTCTTGGACCCGGTGGCTTAAAACGCACGCCGGGTGCGTGCATGCGTGCCCAAGATCCCAAGCGGAGAATGGAGGAGAAGGGATTGCAGCATGACCATCCCCCCTGGGGGGTGATTTCTCGCTTTCTGTCTGTCTGGCAAGTGCATGCGAAAACCTCTTTAAAAAAAAAAAACAGGATATTCTCATTAAAGTATTCAGTAGGTTCCCCCTTAGCCATAGTTTCCCTTCCCAGTGATGGAGTCTCACACTGCCCTACCTAGGATGTGAACTGTCCCCTTGTACAGTGTATCCACTTCCTGTGTGCTGCTTTATACAGTAGTCCCTGACATGGATGTGTTTGTGTTCAGGTACCCTGTATTTTACCTAATGGCCCCCGTATTCAAAGAGTAGTGATAATTGTCATTAATCTTTTAGCTGCCAGATTTGTAAGTTAAACTCGTAGTTATGGGTATATGAAAGTTAGGTATGGAAACAATTTCAAGGTTTTTCACACCAGAATGAATTGTATTTTCATTTTTTCATGAAGCTTTAAAAGTTCCATTGGATAGGAAACTACATGGTATATATTGTGTGGGGTTTGATATTTGTAGTTTCTGGTATCCACAGGTCCTAAAACATATCACATGGACAAGGGCAGTATTTCTGTATTCTTGAAAAATTGCTCTGGGTGATTTCTGCATCCCGTCATGGAGCAAAATTTGCCTAAGCCATAACATCCTATTATGTCCCTAGGATAAAACTGATTTGCTAGGGACCAGCAGATGGTGTGCTGGTTACATTGCTGGACTCCCATGGTTTGAGTCCCAGACCCAGTGACTTGTAACTCATTGGGGGTGTGTGTGCATGAGTCCGTGCACACTCAAAAGCCCGAAAAAAGAATGAAGAGTGGATAGCGCCATGGCCATCCTCCCTGGAGGTGATTTCTGTCTCTGGCTAGCATGTGTACCCTACGCAAAAATCTCTCAAAAGTGGTTTGCTAAACTCAAGTTTTTTAGTTATGTGCTAGAGCCAACAGCTGTGTGGCAGTTACTAAGGTATAGATGTGACCTTCATTTACATTATTGCCCAGGTATCCCCTGCCCTTATGTATCATTTTTGACTAACAATCAGGTATTCTGTGTTAGAGTTTGTGTGCAACTTGGAGGGCTTTTTTTGTCTTATTAAAACAAAAATAGGAAGATTTTGGTTTTCTTGTAGGAAATAGGGATTACCTCATTACTTACCTCATAGTTTTAAATTCCAGTGAGCTTTACATAAACAATTTCTGACAAGTACTAAATGCATTTTTCTTTTCTGGCGTAAGGTTCATTATCAAAAGAAATAGTACGGGATCAGCAGTTAGCTTAATGGCTATGTTGCTGGAATGCCATGTAGTTGACCGCGGTTCGTGTCCCAGACCCGGTGGCTTAAAACTCACGCCGGGCACATGTGCATGTGTGCCCAAGATCTCGAGAGAAGGGATTGCAGTGTAGCCATCCCCCTGGGGGGGTGGGGGGTGATTTCTTGCTTTCTGTCTGTCTGTCTGTCTGTCTGTCTGTCTGTCTCTGGCGAGCACGTGTGCCCTATAGCAAAAACCTCTCCAAAAAGGAAAAAAAAAAATAGGTAGTAGGGTCTAGGTTTTAAAAAATACATATATTGTGAATAATGAGTCCAGACATCTGCATGTGTGGTTTTCTATGGAGGTTCTCCAGAGAGATCCAAAAAGATGTTTAGAGAGATGTATTTTAAGAAATTAGTTTTCAGTTGTAGAGGCTTGGAGGTCTAAAATCTGGTAAGTAATACTAGGAGGCTGGAGACCCAGGATAGAATTTCAAGGAAGGATCCAAAGGCAGTCTGCTCCAAATCCACTGACTGAAGTGGTCATTTCATTCAAAAAAACACCTTTGCAGAAATATCTATAATGGTGTTTGACCAAATATTTGGTTATGTTGCCCAGCCAATTGACACACAAGGTTAATCACATAAAGCATGTGACTGCAGTGTTAGATTTATTTCAAGGGAACTCCTGTTTAAAGTTCTCATGAAACTCCAGATTTGGTGGGGGTAGGGTGTAATGAACCCACACATAACCTATGTAAAACCAAGCAGGACTGATTAAAGACCAGCTTTTATAGGTACTTTCCTGTCTCCAGGTTACCTTAACGGATTTTAGTCAGAATTCAGGATTCATTTTCAAGAAAAGCCACTATCATCTTCTGTATTTAAGCTATGACTATGCGAAGGGGGCAGGGGGATCAGCAAAGTTCTGCATTTTGCTGCAGAGACAGTGCAGTAGAAGAGGGAATCTGGGCTTGGCATAACATCTGGGTTCAAAGATCTGCTTGTCCATTCATTGGCTTCAACAAATGACTCACTTTCTTCATATGTGAAGAGTAAACAGAATATGTTCAAATTTAGGTAAATTTCTTAAGGTTCCTGGTGTATTCAACTGAAACTTCCCAAGTGAGATGGAACAAGTAGCAGTCATTGTATAAATTGGTCAGGGTGACCCGAAAGCCGTTTACAATACAATAGTTTTCGGTTGTTATTTCCAATTATGTGAGCCACAGTTCTAACCAGCTGTCCAGCAGACATGTACTATGTCCAGAAATGATGCCAGAGTGATGGTGCTAAAATGCAAGTCTGATCATGTAATGAGCTATCACTTTCAAAGTACATTTCCAGCTCCTTAGGATAGCATTCAGTCACCTCTGTGATTTCAGCCTCATTCCATACACAAAGCTGAATTTCGTGTACCACCTCCAGGTCTTAATTTAGCCCAGATGTCCCCTTTCGGTGAAGCCTGCCCCTGCTGATCTAACATGCTGTAAAACAGCCATATAGTGAATTCAGCATGTACTGTAATTACTGATTTCTTTGCCCATCTCCGATAGCAGCTTGTGATCTTCCTGATGCCAAAGAGGCTTTTCTCCATGTAGCTTGCATCTACAATGAAGTGAATGGTCAATGGGTGTTTATTGAAGGAAAAAAAAATTAACTAAAATAAATAAATCCTAGGCCTTGTATACCACAATGCATAATTTCAATGTTTTATGAGCAAAACTTATCTTCCCCAGATTAGTTGAGTTTGCTTCTCCAAGTGTATTGTAAATTATTAATCCATTTATTGCAAAAACTCAAGATTAGAAGTCTGCATTAAAATAAAACTTAAAGGGGCCAGCAGGTGGCATAATGGTTAAGGTGCTGGACATTCCCACATGGCCAACCATGGTTCGAGTCCTGGACTTGGTGGTTTGCTTTCTCACTTTCCCTCTCTCTCCCCCTCTCTATATTTATTGCTGGTCAAATTAAAATAAATGAATTAATAGGTAAAATTAAATAATTCTTTGTATATATGTATATATATATGTGTATATATATATATAT